GAAGCTGGTTGAGAGAATGCCAAGAGTGTGCAAAGCTGTCATCAAGGCAAAGGTTGGCTACTTTGAAGAATCTAAAATTTTAAATATATTTGTTTAACACTTTTTTGGTTACTACATGATTCCATATGTGTTATTTAATAGTTGTGATGTCACACTATTATTATACAATGTATAAAATAGTAAAAATAAAGAAAAACCCTTGAATGAGTAGGTGTGTCCAAACTTTTGACTGGTACTGTATATATATATACAGTATATATATAACATACATTTTTTAATTACTTTAAAAAATAATAATAATACAGCCCACTGTGTGCTATATAAATACAACTTAACACGCTGCAGTGGCTAATTCCTCATTGATATCATTCCACTGAGGTAAGGTAGTCCTCGTGTTATATTATTTATTGATCCTCTCACCCCTGAATGGTGGTGAAACACTAGGGTGGTGAGACACTAGGGTGATGGAGGGCTGGGACCCTAGGGTGTTGAAACACTAGGGTGGTGGGACACTAGGGTGGTGAGAATCTAGGGTGGTGAGAATCTAGGGTGGTGAGACACTAGGGTGGTGAGACACTAGGGTGGTGAGACACTAGGGTGGTGAGACACTAGGGTGGTGAGACACTAGGGTGGTGAGACACTAGGGTGATGAAAGACTAGGGTGATGAAACACTAGGGTGGTAAGACACTAGGGTAGTGGGACACTAGGGTGGTGAGACTCTGGGGGGAGGGTACTTTCCTAGTCTCAACCAGCTGCAGCTCCGTTCTAGTTATGTTTCCTAGTATAAATAGCACTGAACTTTGGCAGGGATAGAGAGATACAATGTGCTAAGGAGAGGATCAGATGAGCTTTATGTAACAGACATTAAATTAATGTCAAGAAGGAGGAGGGGGTGTACTCTCTCTATAAGAGAGGGGGGGTGGTATACATGTCCTGTCGCTGTAAGAGAGGGGAGGTGGTATACATGTCCTGTCGCTGTAAGAGGGGGGGGGGGTGGTATACATGTCCCGTCGCTGTAAGGAGGGGGGGGGGGGGGGGTGTGGTATACATGTCCTGTCGCTTGTAAGAGGGGGGGGGGGGGGGGGGGGGGTGGTATACATGTCCTGTCGCTGTAAGAGGGGGGGGGGGGGGGGGGGGGGGGGGGGTGGTATACATGTCCCGTCGCTGTAAGAGAGGGGGGGTGGTATACATGTCCCGTCGCTGTAAGAGGGGGGGGGGGGGGGGGGGGTGGTATACATGTCCTGTCGCTGTAAGAGGGGGGGGGGGGGGGGGGGGGGTGGTTAACATGTCCTGTCGCTGTAAGAGGGGGGGGGGGGGGGGGGGGGGGGGTGGGTATACATGTCCCGTCGCTGTAAGAGGGGGGGGGGGGGGGGGGGGTGGTGGTATACATGTCCCGTCGCTTGTAAGAGAGGGGGGGTGGTATTTTTTTATTTTTATTTATTTATTTATTTCACCTTTATTTAACCAGGTAAGCCAGTTGAGAACAGGTTTCATTTACAACTGCGACCTGGCCAAGATAAGCAAAGTAGTGCAATAAAACAACACAGAGTTACATATGGGGTAAAAAAACATAAAGTCAGAAATACAACAGAAAATATATATACAGTGTGTGCAAATGTAGCATGTTATGGAAGTAAGGCAATAAATAGGCTATAGTGCAGAATGTCCTGTCGCTGTAAGAGAGGGGGGGGTGGTATACATGTCCTGTCGCTGTAAGAGAGGGGGGGGGGGTATACATGTCCTGTCGCTGTAAGAGAGGGGAGGGACCCAATTATGTAAATGTTAATGGTGAGTCCTAACGTCCTAATGTGAAGCATGGACAGACCGACATACAGTTAAAATCCTAAGAAAAGGGTGTCCTTTAGATATACGTCCTAATGATGTCCTCCTAATAGACTTGGAACATACAGTTAAAATCCTAAGAAAAGGGTGTCCTTTAGATATATGTCCTAATGATGTCCTCCTAATAGACTTGGAACATACAGTTAAAATCCTAAGAAAAGGGTGTCCTTTAGATATATGTCCTAATGATGTCCTCCTAATAGACGTGGAACATACAGTTAAAATCCTAAGAAAAGGGTGTCCTTTAGATATATGTCCTAATGATGTCCTCCTAATAGACTTGGAACATACGTTAAAATCCTAAGAAAAGGGTGTCCTTTAGATATATGTCCTAATGATGTCCTCCTATAGACGTGGAACATACAGTTAAAACCTAAGAAAAGGATGTCCTTTAGATATATGTCCTAATGATGTCCTCCTAATAGACTTGGAACATACAGTTAAAATCCTAAGAAAAGGATGTCCTTTAGATATATGTCCTAATGATGTCCTCCTAATAGACTTGGAACATACAGTTAAAATCCTAAGAAAAGGGTGTCCTTTAGATATATGTCCTAATGATGTCCTCCTAATAGACTTGGAACATACAGTTAAAATCCTAGAAAAGGGTGTCCTTTAGATATATGTCCTAATGATGTCCTCCTAATAGACTTGGAACATACAGTTAAAATCCTAAGAAAAGGGTGTCCTTTAGATATATGTCCTAATGATGTCCTCCTAATAGACGTGGAACATACAGTTAAAACCCTAAGAAAAGGGTGTCCTTTAGATATATGTCCTAATGATGTCCTCCTAATAGACTTGGAACATACAGTTAGGTTAAATTGACTGACATGAAAACCTCATGATTAGTAAGAACAGATTGTAGTTGGTAGAACTGAAAGGGGTCAGAGTAGGAGGAGAGCTGTTACCTAATGTCAAAGGCTGTGAGAGGTGTCCTCTAACATTGACCTCGGCCTGTAAACACGACTCAGTAGAAGCGTCACACCCACAGCTCCTGCTATGTGTTGTTGCCTGTTGTTGCCACAATGCAATACAAGCATGTGACGCAAAGCAATGGGTCGCATAGCTCTGGTCCAGGGTGTTATGTGCGTCTTTCTGATGCTGAGCTTCACTGTCGCATGTAATGCCCTGGACCAGAGCTACGGGGGTCGCGGTGATGCCGAAAGGACTGTTTTACCTCAACAAAGCCTCTTCCCAGCGGGCAAAGCTGGTCAACATGATCTCACTACAATTAGTTCACAACCTGAACTGATTGTTATCTGATTGAGATGGCATCGGTTCAACCAGTTTTGCCTGCTAGGTTGATTGTGGAAAAGTCTCAGGCAACGTAAAGAAGGAATCGATTGGATTTGTGAACCTCTTTGTACCGTACAGAAGCTGCACTGTCTGCACAGTGAAATGGGCTCACCTTTCCGTGGGGGGTGTAGGCTTGATATGGTCCAGCTCCTTTTCCTGGCTATGGACTCCATAAGAGATATTTATTATGGGCAGGACATTATAAATTATAGGACAGGTGTACACTAGTATGTGGACACCCCTTCAAAATTAGTGGATTGGGCTATTTCATCCACACCCGCTGCTGAAAATCGAGCACACAGCCAAGTAATCTCCATAGACAAACATTGTCAGTAGAATGGCCCATACTGAAGAGCTCAGTGACTTTCAACGTAGCTGCCCCGGTCAACTGTAAGTGCTGTTATTGTGAAGTGGAAACGTCTAGGAGCAACAACGGCTCAGCAGCGAAGTGGTAGGCCACACAAGGGAATGCCGAGCGCTTAAGCGCGTATCGTGTAAAAAATCGCCTGTCCTCGGTTGCAACACTCACTACCGAGTTCCAAACTGTCTCTGGAAGCAACGTCAGCACAAGAACTGTTCGTTGGGAGCTTCATGAAATGGGTTTCCATGGCCGAGCAGCCTAAGATCACCATGCGCAATGCCAAGCGTTGGCTGGAGTGGTGTAAAGCTCGCCGCCATTGGACTCTGGAGCAGTGGAAACACGTTCTCTGGAGTGATGAATCACGCTTCACCATCTGGCTGTCCGACGGACGATTCTGGGTTTGGCGGATGCCAGGAGAACGCTACCTGCCCCAATGCATAGTACCAACTGTAAAGTTTGTGGCAACAGTTTGGGGAATGCCCTTTCCTGTTTCAGCATGACAATGCACCCGTGCTCAAAGCGAGGTCCATACAGAAATGGTTGAAGAGATCGGTGTGGAAGAACTTGAGCCCTGACCTCAACCCCATCGAACACCTTTGGGATGAATTGGAACACCGACTGCGAGCCAGGCCTAATCGCCCAACATCAGTACCCGACCTCACTAATGCTCTTGTGGCTGAATGGAAGCAAGTCCCCACAGCAATGTTCCAACATCTAGTGGAAAGCCTTCCCAGAAGAGTGGAGGCTGTTATAGCAGCAAAGGGGGGAACCAACTCCATATTAGTGCCCATGATTTTGGAATGAGACGTTCGACGAGCAGGTGTCCACATACTTTTGGTAATGTAGTGTATTAACGCTTATCCCATAAAACATACCTTTCTTTTTGTGCTGTAATCTTCTGCTCATCATATCTGCAAATAAAAACAGCAAGGGTGATTGTGATTGTAATGTTGTTGTTTTTTTTTTCCAGAAACAACTAGTTTAGTTTTATTTTCTATTCCTGACAGCTAACCATCTTTGCAATCTTTGACAATGAGAGGGATCACTCTGATTTAGAGCCTTATATTCAAAGCTCTCTTATGCGGCGTTTAGGCAGCCCAATTCTGATCTAGTGGAAAAAGATCAGAATAAGGCTGCCTGTGTAAACATATAGACCTACATACATGTACTCATTCTGTACACATAAATAACATATATATAACAGGAGGCTGCTGAGGGGAGGACGGCTCATAATAATTGCCGGAACGGAGCAAATGGAATTGCATCAAACACATGGAAATCCTGTGTTTTATGTATTTGACACCATTCCACTGATTCCGCTCCAGCCATTACCATGAGCCCGTCCTCCCCAATTAAGGTGCCACCAACCTCCTGTGATATACATAGCACACATTCCATAGCTAGGCTTAGTGATTGTAACCCACTGTGTCTACAGTAAGGTCAGCAGGTTGAGCAGGTGCTTCATTGGCGACCCCTGGTGGCGGTTGGGACTTACTGCAGGACACATTCTGGAATCTGTATGTGGTCCATAGGGATCAGCTGGCTCAACTCATCCAATGTGTGAACATAACGGATCTTGTCCATGAACTTGACACTGCAGCGGAGAGAGACAGATGGATGGAGAGAGGAAAGTATATTTTATAGTCTGAATCACATTAATCTCGGAAGCCCAGAACTAAAATCTTGCATAATTGGGTCAGATGCGATACCAGTTATCTTACGGGAGTCTGTCCATGAAATATTAGAACCAGATTAACATTGTTTGCTCTAATGGTTCTTTAGGTTCACATCTCAGAAAGGATCTGAGTCCTGAGGCTGCTCCTCCCTCTAAGTCCCGAGGCTGCTCCTCCCTCTATGTCCCGAGGCTGCTCCTCCAGGCTCCCATGCCCTCCCTCTAAGTCCTGAGGCTGCTCCTCCCTCTGAGTCCCGAGGCTGCGTCCTCCTTGGGGCTGCTCCTCCCTGCTCCCATGCCCTCCCTCTAAGTCCCGAGGCTGCTCCTCCCTGCTCCCATGCCCTCCCTCTAAGTCCGAGCTGCTCCTCCCTGCTCCATGCCCTCCCTCTAAGTCCCGAGGCTGCTCCTCCCTGCTCCCATGCCCTCCCTCTAAGTCCCGAGCTGCTCCTCCTCTATGTCCCGAGGCTGCTCCTCCCTGCTCCCATGCCTCCCTCTATGTCCGAGGCTGCTCCTCCTGCTCCATGCCCTCCTCTAAGTCCCGAGGCTGCTCTCCCTCTGAGTCCTGAGGCTGCTCTCCTGCTCCCATGCCCTCCCTCTAAGTCCGAGGACTGCTCCTCTGCTCCATACCCTCCCTCTAAGTCCCGAGGCTGCTCCTCCTGCTCCATGCCCTCACTCTAAGTCCCGAGGTGCTCCTCCCTCTATGTCCCGAGGTGCTCCTCCCTGCTCCATGCCCTCCTCTAAGTCCCGAGGCTGCTCCTCCCTCTATGTCCCGAGGCTGCTCCTCCCTGCTCCCATGCCCTCCCTCTATGTCCCGAGGCTGCTCCTCCCTGCTCCCATGCCCTCCCTCTAAGTCCCGAGGCTGCTCCTCCCTCTATGTCCCGAGGCTGCTCCTCCCTCTGAGTCCTGAGGCTGCTCCTCCCTGCTCCCATGCCCTCCCTCTAAGTCCCGAGGCTGCTCCTCCCTCTAAGTCCCGAGGCTGCTCCTCCCTCTGAGTCCCGAGGCTGCTCCTCCAGGCTCCCATGCCCTCCCCAGGTGCAGTGATGATGATGACGATCAGGGGTCTTACCTGATAAAGGGTCTGGAGATGGCCAAGACTGTACGGATGAACCAGGACGGGTGAGCAATGACCAGCCACTTCAGATTCTTCTTCAACCTGCAGATGACATTAAAATACGATTTACATTAACTGTATGTTCATACAGCATAGGTTACACATCTATAAGCACATCATAAACATGACATTACACATCTAAAAGCACATTATAATCATGACATTACACATCTATAAGGACATTATAAACATGACATTACACATCTATAAGGACATCGTAAACATGACATTACACATCTATAAGGACATTATAATCATGACATTACACATCTATAAGGACATTATAAACATGACATTACACATCTATAAGGACATCGTAAACATGACATTACACATCTATAAACACATCATAAACATGACATTACACATCTATAAACACATCGTAAACATGACATTACACACGATAAATACAATGAACCTGACACAACATTTAAAGGTGCATTCTGTAAGTTATCGTTTACCTCCTGTTGATGGTGTGGTAGCACCTCTTTAGCCAGCTGATACCAGGCATCCTCCTGCGAGGCGTAGCTCCGTTCAGATAGATGATCATGTAGTCGTCAGCCACCAACAACTCCAGGCTACTGATAACAAAGCTGACGAGGAGACAACACACAGCACATTACAACCCACATCAAATCTGATTGGGTTAAAAAAAATTAAAATAATGCAGATGTAAAAAAAAAAAGTTAAATATATGACTTTGTGAAGGAGGACAGCTCAAATTCAAATCCACTGATTCTGTATAAGGCCTGGAGTTGTTCCTGACCATGCAACCTGACTAGGAAAAAACTCCAGTCACAGACTTTAACAAGGTCTCTGGAGTTTTCCTGCCCAGATCACATGTGGTCAGGTAGAACTCCTGGCCCTAGCTATTGTATGGCTCTTGGGACAACGGCTGTTATTTTCACCATGAAGGAGCTTGGTGTGGGTTCTTACAGGAAGAGGTTCTCCATGATGTAAGTGTAGTCCTCACAGCTGCTCTCTGGCAGGTAACAAGCCGCAAACACGATGATGGCATTCAGACCCTCACCATAGTAACCTGAGAGAGGAAGAGGGAGAGGTAGAGAGACCAAATAATGCACGCAGAGCAGAATTAGGCCGATACCCGCTAATTATCCAAATCCAGAAAAGAGCCGTTAAATTCTACAACCACCTTAAAGGAAGCGATTCCCAAACATTCCATAACAAAGCCATCATCTACAGAGAGATGAACCTGGAGAAGAGTCCCCTAAGCAAGCTGGTCCTGGGGCTCTGTTCACAAACACAAACAGACCCCACAGAGCCCCAGGACAGCAACACATATAGACCCAACTAAATCATGAGAAAACAAAAAGAGAATTACTTGACACATTGAAAAGAATTAACAAAAAAACGGAGCAAACTAGAATGCTATTTGGCCCTAAACAGAGAGTACACAGTGGCAGAATACCTGACCACTGTGACTGACCCCAAATTAAGGAAAGCTTTGACTATGTACAGACTCAGTGAGCATAGCCTTACTATTGAGAAAGGCCGCTGTAGGCAGACCTGGCTCTCAAGAGAAGACAGGCTATGTGCACACTGCCCACAAAATGAGGTGGAAACTGAGCTGCACTTCCTAACCTCCATATTAGAGACACATATTTCCCTCAGATTACAGAGATCCACAAATAATTAGAAAACAAACCCAATTTTGATAAACTCCCATATCTGTTGGGTGAAATACCACAGTGTGCCATCACAGCAGCAATATTTGTGACCTGTTGCCACAAGAAAAGGGCAACCGGTGAAGAACAAACACCATTGTAAATACAACCCATATTTATGTTTATTTATTTTCCCATTTGTACTTTAACTATTTGCACATTGTTACAACACTATATATATATATATACATAATCTGACATTTGAAATGTCTTTATTATTTTGGAACTTTTGTGAGTGTAATGTTTACTGTTATTTTATTTTAATTTTTTTATTGTTTATTTCACTTTTGTTTATTATCTATTTAACTTGTTTTGGCAATGTTAACATATGTTTCCCATGCTGATAAAGCCCTTAAATTGAATTGAATTGAAAGGAGAAAAGGGTGAATAATGACTGTTCATTTCAGAACACACACACACACACACAGTCACCTCCATCCCCTGACACCAACCTCCGTGTGTGACCACCCTTAGGTATGGTCTGATGACAGCCATGTCTATCCTCTGTTCCTGGTCTCCTATGATCACTGTCCTCCACAGTCTGCCTGCCTCCTCCTCCTCTGTCTGGCTTCCAGTCAGACCCTTGGAACTCACTATAGGAGTGTCGTCTGAAAACAACAAGGATCCTCTTAATATACTTGCATCTCAGTTTCATCAGAGAACATGAAATCCTGAAGGGGAGTTGCTCACTTGTCTTGATTGTTCTGAAAATGATGTCCTAATTGTACCTTTAAACCACCAATTTGGTCAAGTGTGTATTGTATTCATGTCTTGTTTCCATGAAAATCACTACTCTTGTCACATGTCTGTGTCCCCCCCCCCCCCCCCACCCCATTCCCATTCCACCCAGACCATGTGACCCCTGACCCCTGTCTGACCTTCCCACTCCAGCTCGTTGCCGTTGGTGATGAACTCCAGGGAGTCGTCGTCAGGCGTGTCCATGTCGTCCACGTTGATGTCCAGGTCGTCAGGGTTACCTAGAAAGTCATTTGACAGGACGGAACCCTCGCTCTGGTCCAATGACACGTTCATGTCCGGGGCTACCAGCGTACGGCGCTTACGCAGGGCCGACGACTCACCCCCGACACCAATATTCAGGGTGTTAGGGGGAGCTAGTAGAGGACACAGAAGGGGAGGCGAGGGTGTAGAAAGGAAAGGAGAGAGGAGAGGAGAGGAGAGGAGGAGAGGAGAGGGAGAGGAAGAGGAGAGAGAGACGAGGAGAGGAGAGGAGAGGAGCGGCTCTTAGACGAGGATACGAGAGAGAGGATCGCTAGGGGGGCAAGCGAGCTCACCGCGGAGAGGGAGTAGGGATGGGGGTTGCTTTTCGGTTCCATTTTTGAAGTTTCTTGCATTCTCATTGTATTCTTCTGCAGAAATGTTTGAATTGTTGGACTGGAGAAAGTACATTTTTGCTCTACTTACTTGTCGTGTTGTCAGTGAGCCCCCCGTCCTCCATGTATCCATCTTCTGGTACAGGCCTGGTAGGGACGACAGAGACAGAGAGGTTTGCCAAGACATTATAATAATTGTTTTAGCAAATTATTGTTAGTGGTAATAATACACTTCTGAGTTCAGAGCCTTGGTATTGTGGAGCTAGACTATTGTTACATTTACATTTTAGTCATTTAGCAGACACTCTTATCCAGAGCGACTTACAGTTAGTGAGTGCATACATTATTTTTATTTATTTTTCATACCCCCTGTGGGAATCGAACCCACAACCCTGGCGTTGCAAACACCATGCTCTACTAACTGAGCTACATCCCTGCCGGCCATTCCCTCCCCTACCCTGGACGACGCTGGGCCAATTGTGCGCCGCCCCATGGGTCTCCCGGTCGCGGCCGGCTACGACAGAGCCTGGATTCGAACCAGGATCTCTAGTGCCACAGCCTTAGACCACTGCGCCACTCAGGAGGCCGTTCTCTGTAGATAGAAACAGTGGGATGTTTTGAGTCAGAGAACTTAACAACAGTTATAATCTCTCCACCTGACATTATAACAAGAGAATCTGACTGTAAACACAGGAAGAAAGAAGAGGGTGGATGGCAGTGGAGGCTGCTGAGGGGAGGACGGCTCATAATAATTGCTGGAACGGAGCGAATGGCATCCATTTGATACCATTCTACTTATTCCGCTTCAGCCATTACCATGAGCATGTCCTCCCAAATTAAGGTGCCACCAACCTCCGGTGGTGGATGGCTAGATTCCAGTTTCTCCACCCACCACCACCACCCCCAACAAGTTTTATTTTTATTTATTTATCTTGGCAAGTCAGTTAGGAACACATTTTTATTTACAATGACAGCCTACCCCGGCGAAACCCTCCCCTAACCCGGACGATGCTGGGCCAATTGTGCACCACCCTATGGGACTCCCGATCACGGCCGGTTGTGATACAGCCTGGAATCAAACCCGGGTCTGTAGTGACGCCTCTAGCACTGAGATGCAGTGCCTTAGAACACTGCACCACTCGGTCTCTGGTTACCATAAAGATTACTGTTATTGGGGTGTGATAATGCTACTGATAGGAGCACATAATAGTGGACATGGGGCTTAGCTGCACCATAGTAGTGTACATGGGGCTTAGCTGCACCATAGTAGTGTACATGTGGCTTAGCTGCACCATAATAGTGTACATGGGGCTTAGCTGCACCATAATAGTGTACATGTGGCTTAGCTGCACCATAATAGTGTACATGGGGCTTAGCTGCACCATAATAGTGTACATGGGGCTTAGCTGCACCATAGTAGTGTACATGGGGCTTAGCTGCACCATAGTAGTGTACATGTGGCTTAGCTGCACCATAATAGTGTACATGGGGCTTAGCTGCACCATAATAGTGTACATGTGGCTTAGCTGCACCATAATAGTGTACATGGGGCTTAGCTGCACCATAATAGTGTACATGGGGCTTAGCTGCACCATAATAGTGTACATGGGGCTTAGCTGCAGCTCAGAAACATAACAATAGGAAGACACGAAACCAAAGTGAATGTCAAGTAGACCCTTGGGCCTCCTACTAGCGGCAGACTCGCAATCTGGCATTTCGGGCAAATGTCAGATGGGCTGGTCCATTTTTAGCTCAATGGGCCTGTCTAACTTGGGTTTTCTGCGCAAAATTAGAATTATCTAACAATGGGGACCTCAAGGAAAAAAATGGGCTGGTGTGGGGCCCTCAAGGAAAAAAAGGGATGGTGTGTTAGAAATACCAGGGCCGATTTCTGGTCCCAGTCCGACCCTGCCTCATTACACTCTGAACATGAGAATCACTACTCCTCTACCCATCCCAGACTTAGTTCAGTTTTTAGTGAGTTAGTCAAAATCAGGGAAAACAGTGTATAGTATAATGTGATATTGTCTGTTGCAGATATAACCCCTAACCCAATCAATTCAAAGATACGATTCATGAGCTTGTCTTGAGTTAAACTGCACCCATATTCCAAGCCTTATTGAACTCATGTCTACATCCTGCATCCTGATAGGTTCAGGTAGTACAGCATAGGTGTTTAGTGTTTCAAAATGGTTCTCACATTTCATGCCTACTGAACACAACCCTCAAGGGTGAAGGGTTTTTATTAGTCACGTTTAAAAAAAACATTTGCTTCCCCGGCGTAACCCTGAGGTGAATAACTGATTATGTAATCTGATGATGTAATCTGATGATGTAATCTGATGATGTAATGAGTCACCTGCTACCCATTGTTTTCCCCCTGTTTCAAGACGTGTGCCAGAAAACCTGTCCCATGTCTACGTACTGATGGGTAATTATATACCGTTGTAACACAGGGCTGTTTTATGATAAGTCCGTTTCAAGTTATGAGAGTCCGAGCTGAATGTGTAGCCTCCATGTATACTGCTTCATAAAGTATTCACACCCCTTAACTTATTCCACATTGTGTTGTGTTACAGCCTGAAATCAAAATGGATTAAATAAATAAAAAACATCTCACCCATCTACACACAATACCCCATAATGACAAAGTGAAAACATATTTTTTGAAACGTATTGAACATGAAATACAGACATTTCTCATTTACATAAGCATTCACACCCCTGAGTCAATTAGAAGCACCTTTGGCAGCGATTAAAGCTGTGAGTCTTTCTGGGTAAGAGCTTGATTGTGCAACATTTGCCCATTATTCTTTAAAAATTTTCTTCAACCTCTGTCGAATTGGTTGTTGATCATTGCTAGACAGCCATTTTCAGGTCGTTCCATAGATTTTCAAGTAGATTTAAGTCAAAACTGTAACTAGGCCACTCGGGAACAGTCACTGTGTCACGACTTCCGCTGAGGCTGCCCCCCCCCCTCCTGGTTCGGGCAGGCTTCGGCGTTCGTCGTCACCGGAATACTAGCTACTGCCGATCCCATTCTCATCACTCCACTTGTCATGTCTTGTCAATCACACACACCTGGTGCTCATTCCCCTAATTAGTATGTGTATAAGTGTTCCCTCTGTTCCCCTTGTCTTTGTGAGTGATTGTTTTGTTGTGAAGAGCGTGTAGCTCGGTTGAGCTATTATTCACTGTGTTTATGCCAAGGTGGATGTTTTCCCTTGTGATAGTTTCGTTTTCACGCTGGGTGCGTTTTATTTATGTAAATGGAATAAACTCTGGACTTCAGTGTTTTACCTCCTGCGCCTGACTCCTTCTTTCACACCTCGTCACACACTGTCTTCTTGGTAAGCAACTCCAGTGTAGATTTGGCCTTGTGTTTTAGGTTATTGTCCTGCTGAAAGATTAATTCATCTCCCAGTGTCTGGTGGAAAGCAGACTGAACCAGGTTTTCCTCTAGTCTCCCAGTGTCTGGTGGAAAGCAGACTGAACCAGGTTTTCCTCTAGTCTCCCAGTGTCTGGTGGAAAGCAGACTGAACCAGGTTTTCCTCTAGGATTTTGTCTGTGCTTAGCTCCGTTCGCTTTCTTTTTTATCCTGAAAAACTCACCAGTTCTTAACAATTACAAGCATACCCATAACATAATGCAGCCACCACTATGCTTGAAAATATGGAGCGTGGTACTCAGTAATGTGTTGTATTGCATTTACCCCAAACATAACACTTTGTATTAAGGACATTTTAGCAGACGCTCTCATCCAGAGTGACTTACAGTAGTGAGTGCATACATTTTCATTTTTGCCTCATGGTGAAATCCGTGAGTGGTTTCCTTCCTTTCCGGCAACTTAGTTAGGAAGGCCACCTGTATCTTTGTAGTGACTGGGTGTATTGATACACCACCCATAGTGTAATTAATAACTTCACCATGCTCAAAGGGATATTCAATGTCTGCTTTTTTTTTACCCGTCTACCAATAGGTGCCCTTCTTTGCGAGGCATTAGAAAACCTCCCTGGTCTTTGTGGTTGAATCTGTGTTTGAAATTCACTGCTCGACCGAGGGACCTTACAGATAATTGTAAGTGTGGGGTAGAGAGATGAGGTAGTCATTCAAAAATCATGTTAAACACTATTATTGCACACGGAGTAAGTCCATGCAACTTATTATGTGACTTGTTAAGCACATTTTTACGCCTGAACTTATTTAGGCTTGCCATAACAAAGGGTTGTGAATATTTATTAACTCAAGACATTTCAGCTTTTCATTTGTTATTAATCTGTAAAAAAAATAAAAAAACATAATTACACTTTTGACATTATGGAGTATTTTGTGTAGGCCAGTGACAAAAAATCTCAGTTCAATCCATTTTAAATTCAGGCTGTAACACAACAAAATGTAGAATAAGTCAAGGGGTGTGAATAATTTCTGAAGGCACTGTATGTCAATGTAGTACTACCCATCATCTCTCTTCATGCTAATCACTAATCACTTACATTCACTGTAATAACTGTGTAATTACAGTACTGTTTTATACTTTATACATTTGAGGTTGAGAGTCGAACCCCATGACATGAAATCAAACATTACAAAACGTCTCTGATAGAATTAAACAGAAAACAGAATGTGAAAATACTGAGGGTGCCAATATAGCCACCCTGTATGTAGGTTAGTTGCCTCTGCCAAGAGACCCAGGCTTTTATGGCATAGGTTGTAGTGCACTCGTCCCATAAACACACGGTTGCTGGTTCAAACCCTGCTCTGATAATTTCCTCATAAATCGCTACACCTGGGGAAGTCTTACACTATGCATTACTCATTCATTTATTTGTTTATGTGTTACCTGGGGAAGTCTTCATCCTGCCACTCGTCCTTAACCTCCATGCTGTCCATGTGTGCCGTGACCTCTGACATGACCTCTGCCGTGCCCAACCTCCAATCAGGGGAGCAGGACCAGCGTTGGCCCTGGGGTCACTGTCAGAGAGAGAGATTATAAACAGCATGCTCACTCAAACATTCTTTGAGTCACTGTCAGAGAGAGACAGAGTCACTGTTGCTCCTAACCAAGGTGCTAACTGAGTCACTGTCAGTCAGATGTACAGAGAGAGAAATGATAACCAACGTGTTCACTCAGGGCTGGAGTCACTGTCTGACCAAGGTTGTGAGGCCAACACGTAAGCTTAATAAACACAAGTGATACTGGCAAGGCTGGTAAGCTTAATAAACACAAGTGATACTGACAAGGCTGGTAAGCTTAATAAACACAAGTGATACTGGCAAGGCTGGTAAGCTTAATAAACACAAGTGATACTGGCAAGGCTGGTAAGCTTAATAAACACAAGTGATACTGACAAGGCTGGTAAGCTTAATAAACACAAGTGATACTGGCAAGGCTGGTAAGCTTAATAAACACAAGTGATACTGACAAGGCTGGTAAGCTTAATAAACACAAGTGATACTGGCAAGGCTGGTAAGCTTAATAAACACAAGTGATACTGGCAAGGCTGGTAAGCTTAATAAACACAAGTGATACTGGCAAGGCTGGTAAGCGCAGTCTGCACGTTTTTTATTTTCTTTCAAGACACACAGAGAGAGAAATAATAAACAATGTGGTGTCAATGGGGTTCAAACCAAAACTAAAATGAGTAATTTCCTAACTCTGGTCCACGGCATTAGTCTCTCCACTAACGAGGAATGCACAGTAACACCCTGGACCAGAGCTAGCCATTTCCATACCCTGGGGAAAGATGACAAACACATAGAAACATCTAAGGATGATATAAAAATGTGATAAAAATAATCAGAGACTAAAAACAGTATCAACTCATGATGTGACCCTTCACATTGTGCTGAGGGCAAGGATATTACAACGACAATGTCCTCTTCCAATGGAACAACTCACAGGTCCTTCTGGACAAAACAAACTGAGTTTGGTAGTAGGTGTCAGGTGCAACGGTTTGTGTCAAGAGCTGCAACGCTGCAAATGGCACCCTATTCCCTTTCAAGATAGAGATCTCTACTCTCCCTAACACTAGATGGTGCCCTGCTCACAGATAGAGATTCCCTAGTCCTACTGACCAATTTTCACTTCTGATGTAGTGAGTCCGGGTTCAATGATACACTCATCTCATCCAAATGTAAATCTACATAAGTTGTTTTATTTTATCATGATAACAAGCAGTCTCTGATACAAAGAAAGCCCAGAGCCTGCAATCACACGCACAGACGCAATCACACGCACACAGACACACTCTCACACACAGACACACTCTAACACACACAGACACACTCTCACACACACAGACACACTCTAACACACACAGACACACTCTCACACACACAGACACACTCTCACACACACAGACACACTCTCACACACACGGACACACTCTCACACACACTGACACACTCTCACACACACGGACACACTCTCACACACACAGACACACTCTCACACACACGGATGACCACGCTAATGCAATAATTGACTAATAATCGAGTTGTCTCTGTGTGATATCCTTCAGTCCTCTTCGTAAGTCCTTCATGCAGTCAGCCAGTACTGGGATACGTTCCAAATGGCACCCTATTCCCTACATAGTGCACTACTTTTGACCAGAGCTCTATAGGCCCTGTTCAGAAGAAGTGCACTGGGATGGAACCACATAATCTGAGCTTCAGTGTACCTTTATTTAACAGATGATGTAATCAAATCACAATAAGGTATGATTCAATCATCATTCAGTACAGTACACTACGGTCTATTGACTGGCAGGGTACAAAGTGAGGTCATGTTGGTGAATCGTGCCCTGTGCTCAGCTGAGGGTAGTCATGTGTGGACAGCGAGAACTTCAGGCGTGTGAGATAAGGCTTCAGGGAGGAGATGCCACATAGATACTTTTAGAACAGTATTATACATATTGTCTATGGAATCAATCTATAATGCACAGTTCGGGATGTAGCTGAGATTTCTCAGTGCATATTGTCCACAGACATAGCTGGGACACAGACAAGGCACTGATATGTTGTAGCCCTGATATACTAGAGACAAGACACTGATACGTTGTAGCCCTGATATACTAGAGACAAGGCACTGATACGTTGTAGCCCTGATATACTAGAGACAAGGCACTGATACGTTGTAGCCCTGATATACTAGAGACAAGGCACTGATACGTTGTAGCCCTGATATACTAGAGACAAGACACTGATACGTTGTAGCCCTGATATACTAGAGACAAGACACTGATACGTTGTAGCCCTGATATACTAGAGACAAGGCACTGATACGTTGTAGCCCTGATATACTAGAGACAAGGCACTGATACGTTGTAGCCCTGATATACTAGAGACAAGGCACTGATACGTTGTAGCCCTGATATACTAGAGACAAGGCACTGATACGTTGTAGCCCTGATATACTAGAGACAAGGCACTGATACGTTGTAGCCCTGATATACTAGAGACAAGGCACTGATATGTTGTAGCCCTGATATACTAGAGACAAGGCACTGATACGTTGTAGCCCTGATATACTAGAGACAAGACACTGATACGTTGTAGCCCTGATATACTAGAGACAAGACACTGATACGTTGTAGCCCTGATATACTAGAGACAAGACACTGATACGTTGTAGCCCTGATATACTAGAGACAAGACACTGATACGTTGTAGCCCTGATATACTAGAGACAAGACACTGATACGTTTGTAGCCCTGATATACTAGAGACAAGACACTGATACGTTGTAGCCCTGATATAGTAGAGACAAGACACTGATACGTTGTAGCCCTGATATACTAGAGACAAGACACTGATACGTTGTAGCCCTGATATACTAGAGACAAGACACTGATACGTTGTAGCCCTGATATACTAGAGACAAGACACTGATACGTTGTAGCCCTGATATACTAGAGACAAGGTACTGATACGTTGTAGCCCTGATATACTAGAGACAAGACACTGATACGTTGTAGCCCTGATATACTAGAGACAAGACACTGATACGTTGTAGCCCTGATATACTAGAGACAAGGCACTGATACGTTGTAGCCCTGATATACTAGAGACAAGGCACTGATACGTTGTAGCCCTGATATACTAGAGACAAGACACTGATACGTTGTAGCCCTGATATACTAGAGACAAGACACTGATACGTTGTAGCCCTGATATACTAGAGACAAGGCACTGATACGTTGTAGCCCTGATATACTAGAGACAAGACACTGATACGTTTGTAGCCCTGATATACTAGAGACAAGACACTGATACGTTGTAGCCCTGATATACTAGAGACAAGGCACTGATACGTTGTAGCCCTGATATACTAGAGACAAGACACTGATACGTTGTAGCCCTGATATACTAGAGACAAGGCACTGATACGTTGTAGCCCTGATATACTAGAGGACAAGACACTGATACGTTTGTAGCCCTGATATACTAGAGACAAGAACACTGATACGTTGTAGCCCTGATATACTAGAGACAAGGCACTGATACGTTGTAGCCCTGATATACTAGAGACAAGGCACGGATACGTTGTAGCCCTGATATACTAGAGATAAGACACTGATACGTTGTAGCCCTGATATACTAGAGACAAGGCACGGATACGTTGTAGCCCTGATATACTAGAGACAAGGCACTGATACGTTGTAGCCCTGATATACTAGAGACAAGGCACTGATATGTTGTAGCCCTGATATACTAGAGACAAGGCACTGATATGTTGTAGCCCTGATATACTAGAGACAAGGCACTGATATGTTGTAGCCCTGATATACTAGAGACAAGACACTGATACGTTGTAGCCCTGATATACTAGAGACAAGACACTGATATGTTGTAGCCCTGATATACTAGAGACAAGGGACTGATACATTGTAGCCCTGATATAGAGTAGAGGGAACCCATGTGTGAAATCAGCTAATTGGGTTTAACCCTAAACCTAATGGGGACTAAAAGGACCAGTCTGTCCTCCAGCCACAAGGCCATCACTGGACTGGAACTATGATGTCATCACAATCAATCAACAGATGAAGTGTTTATACTTAACAAGTAGTAGCCGTTGTTGTATAACTGTATAATTATGCACAATAGGAAAATCTATGTATTGTGTGAAGCTAAATGTTGTGTCGTATGTCTGTCTGCATTCAACACAATGCTGGGAGTCCTTAATGATGTGTCGCATGTTTGTCTGCATTCAACATAATGCTGGGAGTCCTTAATGTCCTTGATTTTAATGTTACGATGTCATAGGATGTCACCTCCTCCAATATAAACACTTGTTTTCCCAATAATTCTGTAGCAGCATAGGGGGGTTGGTGGCAGTGCAGTGCAGAACATATTAGTTGACACTCTACAGCAGGAGATGACTGCATGTGTTATCTGCAAACATTAACACTACAGAGTCAGTGGTGTGGCCTGCATACATTAACACTACAGAGTCAGAGGTGTGGCCTGCAAACATCAACACTACAGAGTCAGAGGTGTGGCCTGCATACATTAACACTACAGAGTCAGAGGTGTGGCCTGCATACATTAACACTACATTAGTCAGAGGTGTGGCCTGCATACATTAACACTACATAGTCAGAGTGTGGCCTGCATACATTAACACTACATTAGTCAGAGGTGTGGCCTGCAACATTAACACTACAGAGTCAGTGGTGTGGCCTGCATACATTAACACTACAGAGTCAGAGGTGTGGCCTGCATACATTAACACTACATTAGTCAGAGGTGTGGCCTGCATACATTAACACTACATTATTCAGAGGTGTGGCCTGCATACATTAACACTACAGAGTCAGAGGTGTGGCCTGCATACATTAACACTACATTAGTCAGAGGTGTGGCCTGCATACATTAACACTACATTAGTCAGAGGTGTGGCCTGCCTACATTAACACTACAGAGTCAGAGGTGTGGCCTGCATTCATTAACACTACAGAGTCAGAGATGTGGCCTGCATACATTAACACTACAGAGTCAGAGGTGTGGCCTGCAAACATTAACACTACAGAGTCAGAGGTGTGGCCTGCATACATTAACACTACAGAGTCAGAGGTGTGGCCTGCATACATTAACACTACAGAGTCAGATGTGGTGGCCTGCAAACATTAACACTACATTATTCAGAGGTGTGGCCTGCATACATTAACACTACAGAGTCAGAGGTGTGGGCTGCAAACATTAACACTACAGAGTCAGAGGTGTGGCCTGCCTACATTAACACTACAGAGTCAGAGGTGTGGCCTGCAAACATTAACACTACAGAGTCAGAGGTTGTGGCCTGCATACATTAACACTACAGAGTCAGAGGTGTGGCCTGCATACATTAACACTACAGAGTCAGAGGTGTGGCCTGCAAACATTAACACTACATTATTCAGAGGTGTGGCCTGCATACATTAACACTACAGAGTCAGAGGTGTGGCCTGCAAACATTAACACTACAGAGTCAGAGGTGTGGCCTGCCTACATTAACACTACAGAGTCAGAGGTGTGGCCTGCAAACATTAACACTACAGAGTCAGAGGTGTGGCCTGCATACATTAACACTACAGAGTCAGAGGTGTGGCCTGCATACATTAACACTACAGAGTCAGAGGTGTGGCCTGCAAACATTAACACTACATTATTCAGAGGTGTGGCCTGCATACATTAAACACTACAGAGTCAGAGGTGTGGCCTGCATACATTAACACTACAGAGTCAGAGGTGTGGCCTGCAACATTAACACTACAGAGTCAGAGGTGTGGCCTGCTACATTAACACTACAGAGTCAGAGGTGTGGCCTGCAACATTAACACTACAGAGTCAGAGGTGTGGCCTGCACACATTAACACTACAGAGTCAGAGGTGTGGCCTGCATACATTAACACTACAGAGTCAGAGGTGTGGCCTGCACACATTAACACTACAGAGTCAGAGGTGTGGCCTGCCTACATTAACACTACAGAGTCAGAGGTGTGGCCTGCAAACATTAACACTACAGAGTCAGAGGTGTGGCCTGCATACATTAACACTACAGAGTCAGAGGTGTGGCCTGCACACATTAACACTACAGAGTCAGAGGTGTGGCCTGCAACATTAACACTACAGAGTCAGAGGTGTGGCCTGCATACATTAACACTACAGAGTCAGAGGTGTGGCCTGCACAACATTAACACTACATAGTTCAGAGGTGTGGCCTGCATACATTAACACTACAGAGTCAGAGGTGTGGCCTGCAAACATTAACACTACAGAGTCAGAGGTGTGGCCTGCCTACATTAACACTACAGAGTCAGAGGTGTGGCCTGCAAACATTAACACTACAGAGTCAGAGGTGTGGTCTGCATACATTAACATACAGAGTGAGAGGTGTGGCCTGCATACATTAACACTACAGAGTCAGAGGTGTGGCCTGCATACATTAACACTACAGAGTCAGAGGTGTGGCCTGCATACATTAACACTACAGAGTCAGAGGTGTGGCCTGCATACATTAACACTACAGAGTCAGAGGTGTGGCCTGCAAACATTAACACTACAGAGTCAGAGGTGTGGCCTGCCTACATTAACACTACAGAGTCAGAGGTGTGGCCTGCAAACATTAACACTACAGAGTCAGAGGTGTGGCCTGCACACATTAACACTACAGAGTCAGAGGTGTGGCCTGCATACATTAACACTACAGAGTCAGAGGTGTGGCCTGCACACCATTAACACTACAGAGTCAGAGGTGTGGCCTGCCTACATTAACACTACAGAGTCAGAGGGGTGTGGCCTGCAAAACATTTAACACTACAGAGTCAGGGTGTGGCCTGCCATACCATTAACACTACAGGTCAGAGGTGTGGCCTGCACACATATACCCATACAGAGTCAGAGGTGTGGCCTGCATACTATTAACACTACAGTGCAGAGTGTGGCCTTGCCACACATTACACACTACAGAGTCAGAGGTGTGGCCTGCCTACATAACACTACAGAGTAGAGGTGGGCCTGCCCTACATTAACCGAAATAGTCAGAGGTGGGGCCTGCAGACATTAACACTACCGAGTCAGAGGTGTGGCCTGCATACATAACACTACAGAGTCAGAGGTGTGCCTGCCTTAACATTAACATCTACAGAGTAGAGGTGTGGCCTGTCCTAAATTAACACTAAGAGTCAGAGGTGGGCCTGCAAAACATGAACACTAGGAGGTCAGAGGTCAGAGGTGTGGCTGCATACATTAACATACAGAGTGAGAGGTGTGGCCTGCATACATTAACACTACAGAGTCAGAGGTGTGGCCTGCATACATTAACACTACAGAGTCAGAGGTGTGGCCTGCATACATTAACACTACAGAGTCAGAGGTGTGGCCTGCATACATTAACACTACAGAGTCAGAGGTGTGGCCTGCAACATTAACACTACAGAGTCAGAGGTGTGGCCTGCTACATTAACACTACAGAGTCAGAGGTGTGGCCTGCAACATTAACACTACAGAGTCAGAGGTGTGGCCTGCACACATTAACACTACAGAGTCAGAGGTGTGGCCTGCATACATTAACACTACAGAGTCAGAGGTGTGGCCTGCACACATTAACACTACAGAGTCAGAGGTGTGGCCTGCCTACATTAACACTACAGAGTCAGAGGTGTGGCCTGCAACATTACACTCAAGTCAGATGTGGCCTGCTACATAAACTACAGAGTTAAGGTGTGGCCTGCACAATTAACACTCAGAGTCCAAGTTTGGCCTGCATACTTAACACTACAGAGTCCAGAGTGTGGCTGCACACATTACCTACAAGTCAAGGTGGGCCTGCCTACTACACTACAAGTCATTGCCTGCCTACATTAACCTACCAGACAGAGGTGTGGCCTGCAGACATTACACTACAGTCAGAGGTGTGCCTGCTACTACACTACAGAGTCAGTGTGGCCTGCCCATAACCTACAGAGTCAGAGGTGGCCTGCAAACATTTAACATACAGAGTCGAGGTGTGGCCGAACATTCTAGTGCTGATATTTACTCCAGGAGTCTAAATGCAACCCATTCTATAGTGCATGCTTTGACCGGGGCCCATTGGTTCCAGAGTGTGCAGAATCATTCTACAGCTCTCTCACACACAATCTCTCACATGCTACCTACCCTACTGCCTGATTGGATACAGTCACACATCACACAGCCTTTTGTCTGGGCATGGGACCATGTGCCTGCCCCATAGCTAAAGAGGAAAAAAGTCAAGACATTTAAATGATGCATTGCAGACACTTTCAATAGAGGCATTGATAATATTATCAGACCGTGCTTAACAACCAGACTACAGGGGTGTATTCTGTTACAGTGCCCTGCAAAATTATTCATCCCCCTTGGCGTTTTTCCTATTTTATTGCATTACAACCTGTAATTTAAATTGATTTTTATTTGGATTTCATGTCATGGACATACACAAAATAGTCAAAATTGGTGAAGTGAAATAAAAAAATAACTTGTTTCAAAAAGTTCTCAAAAATAAATAACGGAAAAGTGGTGCGTGCATATGTATTCACCCCCTTTGCTATGAAGCCCCTAAATAAGATCTGGTGCAACCAATTACCTTCAGAAGTCACATAATTAGTTAAATAAAGTCCACCTGTGTGCAATCTAAGTGTCACATGATCTGTCACATGATCTCAGTATACAGTGGGGGAAAAAAAGTATTTAGTCAGCCACCAATTGTGCAAGTTCTCCCACTTAAAAAGATGAGAGAGGCCTGTAATTTTCATCATAGGTACACGTCAACTATGACAGACAAATTGAGATTTTTTTTCTCCAGAAAATCACATTGTAGGATTTGTAATGAATGTATTTGCAAATTATGGTGGAAAATAAGTATTTGGTCACCTACAAACAAGCAAGATTTCTGGCTCTCACAGACCTGTAACTTCTTCTTTAAGAGGCTCCTCTGTCCTCCACTCGGTACCTGTATTAATGGCACCTGTTTGAACTTGTTATCAGTATAAAAGACACCTGTCCACAACCTAAAACAGTCACACTCCAAACTCCACTATGGCCAAGACCAAAGAGCTGTCAAAGGACACCAGAAACAAAATTGTAGACCTGCACCAGGCTGGGAAGACTGAATCTGCAATAGGTAAGCAGCTTGGTTTGAAGAAATCAACTGAGCAATTATTAGGAAATGGAAGACATACAAGACCACTGATAATCTCCCTCGATCTGGGGCTCCACGCAAGATCTCACCCCGTGGGGTCAAAATGATCACAAGAACGGTGAGCAAAAATCCCAGAACCACACGGGGGGACCTAGTGAATGACCTGCAGAGAGCTGGGACCAAAGTAACAAAGCCTACCATCAGTAACACACTACGCCGCCAGGGACTCAAATCCTGCAGTGCCAGACGTGTCCCCCTGCTTAAGCCAGTACATGTCCAGGCCCGTCTGAAGTTTGCTAGAGTGCATTTGGATGATCCAGAAGAGGATTGGGAGAATGTCATATGGTCAGATGAAACCAAAATAGAACTTTTTGGTAAAAACTCAACTCGTCGTGTTTGGAGGACAAAGAATGCTGAGTTGCATCCAAAGAACACCATACCTACTGTGAAGCATGGGGGTGGAAACATCATGCTTTGGGGCTGTTTTTCTGCAAAGGGACCAGGACGACTGATCCGTGTAAAGGAAAGAATGAATGGGGCCATGTATCGTGAGATTTTGAGTGAAAACCTCCTTCCATCAGCAAGGGTATTGAAGATGAAACGTGGCTGGGTCTTTCAGCATGACAATGATCCCAAACACACCGCCCAGGCAACGAAGGAGTGGCTTCGTAAGAAGCATTTCAAGGTCCTGGAGTGGCCTAGCCAGTCTCCAGATCTCAACCCCATAGAAAATCTTTGGAGGGAGTTGAAAGTCCGTGTTGCCCAGCGACAGCCCCAAAACATCACTGCTCTAGAGGAGATCTGCATGGAGGAATGGGCCAAAATACCAGCAACAGTGTGTGAAAACCTTGTGAAGACTTACAGAAAACGTTTGACCTGTGTCATTGCCAACAAAGGGTATATAACAAAGTATTGAGAAACTTTTGTTATTGACCAAATACTTATTTTCCACCATAATTTGCAAATAAATTCATAAAAAATCCTACATCAAGCGGCACCATGAAGACCAAGGATTTCTCCAAACAGGACAGGGACAAAGTTCTGGAGAAGTACAGATCAGGATTGGGTTATAAAAAAATATCAGAAACTTTGAACATCCCAAGGAGCACCATTAAATCCATTATTTAAAAAATGGAAAGAATATGGCACCACAACAGACCTGAGAGGGCCGCCCACCAAAACTCACGGACCAGGCAAGGAGGGCATTAATCAGAGAGGCAACAAAGAGACCAAAGATAACCCTGAAGGAGCTGCAAAGCTCCACAGCGGAGATTGGAGTATCTGTCCATAGGGCCACTTTAAGCCGTACACTCCACAGAGCTGGGCTTTACGGAAGAGTGGCCAGCAAAAAGCCATTGCTTAAAGAAAAAAAAAAAAAAAAACACATTTGGTGTTTGCCAAAAGACATGTGTGAGTAGGTACTCTTGTCAGACTAAAATTGAGCTTTTTGGCCATCAAGGAAAACGCTATGTCTGGCGCAAACCCAACACCTCTCATCAACCCGAGAACACCATCCCCACAATGAAGCATGGTGGTGGCAGGATCATGCTGTGGGGATGTTTTTAATCGGCAGGGACTGGGAAACTGGTCAGAATTGAAGGAATGATGGATGGCGCTAAATACAAGGAAATTCTTGAGGGAAATCTGTTTCAGTCTTCCATAGATTTGAGACTGGGACGGAGGCTCACCTTCCAGCAGGACAATGACCCTAAGCATACTGCTAATGCAACACTTGAGTGGTTTATGAGGAAACATTAAAATGTCTTGGAATGGCCTAGTCAAAGCCCAGACCTCAATCCAATTGAGAATCTGTGGTATGACTTAAAAATTGCTATACACCAGCGGAACCCATCCAACTTGAAGGAGCTGGAGCAGTTTTGCCTTGAAGAATGGGCAAAAATCCCAGTGGCTAGATGTGCCAAGCTTATAGAGACATACCCCAAGAGACTTGCAGCTGTAATTGCTGCAAAAGGTGGCTCTACAAATATTGACTTTGGGGGGGGGTTGGTGAATAATTATGCACGCTCAAGTTCCGTTTTTTTGTTTCACCCCAAAAAATATTTTGCATCTTCAAAGTGGTAGGCATGTTGTGTATATCAAATGATACAAACCCCCCCCCCAAAAAAACATCTATTTTAATTCCAGGTTGTAAGGCAACAAAATAGGATAAAATGCCAAGGGGGGGTGAATACTTTCTCAAACCACTATGCCAATTCTTCATGCCATTTTAATGATGCAGACATTCAATAGGCACGGTGATGATAGTATCAGAATAGGATAGCTATTTGAGACGCAGCCTGTGCCTCTGCCTCATACTCCATGTCAGCGATCCTAACTCCGGTTGATGAATAGAAAAACACAATGTCTCTGTAATTTGAACCAGATTAGCTGCACGTAATGATGCATGAAAGGTCAGCTGATCGATCAATATAGCATGGGCTCAGGACTAGACTCATTGCTCCAGAGTTAGAATGCATCATCATCATCGTCGTCATCATCATCATCACATAGAACAGTTCTAGAACTGAACATTCTGAACACTTTAAGGAAGGACATCACTGACTGAGGTAAAAAAAAAAAAAGGCAATGATGACAGTATATTGTCATTGGCCACATATAGTGGAAACATAGCCTGTGCTCTTTCCAACTCCATTGCTGTCAGTGTCAAGACAAACCTTGGTATGACAATGTGACACAGGGAGTTAGCGTGAAAGTACAAACAGACTGACACTCAGGCTAGTAGAACACAGTAGAGTATAGAACACTCACATTCAACAGGAAGTTCTCTGTCTCCTGTAGCTGACTCTGAATGTTTCTGTTTTTCTTCTTCTGTCCTCTTCCTCTTCCCTGGGAAGCCCAGGATAATCCACAGGTAATGCTTGGTGATGAGACCAGGTAATGCTAGGTGATGAGACCAGGTGAGGCCAGGTGAAGCATGCTATATGTGCCAACCAGGAGCTCAGGTCCAGGCTCCAGCCCTGGGTGTCACCGCTCCAGCCCTGGGTGTCACCGCACCAACCCTGTTCGTCTCAGCTCCAGCCCTGGGTGTCACCGCTCCAGCCCTGGGTGTCACCGCTCCAGCCCTGGGTGTCACCGCTCCAACCCTGTTCGTCTCAGCTCCAACCCTGGGTGTCACCGCTCCAGCCCTGGGTGTCACCGCTCCAACCCTGTTCGTCTCAGCTCCAACCCTGGGTGTCACCGCTCCAGCCCTGGGTGTCACCGCTCCAACCCTGTTCGTCTCAGCTCCAACCCTGGGTGTTTGGGACCGCTACAGGCAGAGAATGGCTCCCTGTGGACCTGGGTGGGTAGGAACCACAGTCTATGGTAGGAACATACACCTGTGTTCTGTTCTGTTCAGCAGAGCTCCCTTCTGCTAAAACAGCAGTTTCTCATCTGTGTCCAGTTGCCGTGGGAATAAACGTTCCTCTCCATGTACCCCAGATTGTGTTGTGATGATCTATCTGTGGCCCTTTATTCCTAACGGGATCTCCTCTCCATCTTCTTTAGAGTTCACACACGTTAGAACACATACACACCCCGTCCCCAGCTGTAATGCCCAGGCAGGCTCTCTAATCCCGCTGCGATGACATCATGGTTGTGGTCGCTGTGTGATGGGGGGGTTATGTCATCTCACCCGTCTGATTCCACATACTCTTCCTCTCCATCTTCTTCCTCCTTTCTCTGTGTGAATCTGATAGACTGGAGTTATAATACACAGCCTGTAGTAGTATGATCTGGTTGGTTTTGTCTTCTATGAGCAGTTATTCCTGCGTTCGGCCCTAGTTTTTCACATTCGTTTATCCCTCACAAGCTGTTAAAGATGGACGATTCCTCATGCACACTCTTCCCTGGCAACAGCATCTCTCTCTCTCTCTCTCTCTCTCTCTCTCTCTCTCTCTCTCTCTCTCCTCTCTCCTCTCTCTCTCTCTCCTCCTCTCTCTCCTCTCCTCTCTCTCCTCCTCTCTCTCTCTCTCTCTCTCTCCTCTCTCTCTCCTCTCCTCTCTCCTCTCCTCTCTCTCTCTCTCCTCTCTCTCTCTCTCTAATAAAGTCCTTCTCCACATAATTCCGCTCCC